CCCATGTTTTCTCACCACTACAGCTCCGGCTTTGTGAGGTTTTTCATCTCCACAATCTTCATGTTCCTTTGCCTGGAACACTCTTCCTTCTTCGTATTAATCCATTAAACGTCTCACCTCAAACATCACCTCCTCCAGGAACTTCTTTCTGATACCCTCCCAGAGTCAGATTCCCCATCTTTATGCTGGGATCCAAATAGTCTATTGTCCAAAAAAATATTTAGAACACATGAAGTTCCTCTTCATCTCAAACTGAATGAGAGGCGGGGGGGGGGGGGGTACCTTCTCCTAAAAACTATATGAAATAGACTTTCCCTGATTGTAAAGAGAAGTAAGTCTCTGTGTCCCCCATTCAGATCCCATGGCACTGGGGTATAGCTCAGTGGTAGAGCATTTGACTGCAGATCCCATGGCACTGTTACCAGCCATATCTGCTGGACAACAGCTCCCTCTCACCCAGAATTTCACCATGCTCCAGGCAAAAGGACTTCTTTTTTTGTATTGGCCTCTGGCTATTTCTTAAAGGTAGATGATCAACTGAATGAAAATGTCATTCCTATGAAGGTGCCTCCTAAGATCTGTCTCCCAATCTGCTTTTCCTATGGTCTAATGTCTAAAGCTGTCTGTGGGATGCTCCTCAGAGACAGGGGGACAAGAAATCAAACTTATTTCCTCAACTGAAAAAGGATGAGCAGATGACTTCCAAGGATGCCTTCCCACTAAAAAGCCACCTGAACTCATTCTCTGCCCTAAGCTGGCTCATCTTGTGAACCTCCCCATCTAGGAGTAGTATTTTATCTCTTCCTAGTCATTGCTGCTCACCGTCCCGCCTCTGACAATGGTATTACAGGATGGTTAAGGGGATCTCTATTGTGTGCCGCAAAGTATTAGAAATACATCAATACTCTCTTCCTCCAATAATCTAAAATAAAACTTCAACTTGTAAGTTTTTCCAAACCTGGATACCATTCTACCTTTAGGAGAAGGACACTTCCTTTCACATCTTCTAAATTTATTTCTTTGAAGCTTCAAGAGATGCCTCTAATTCTAGTATTTCAAGATTTGGAGAATAAGTCCAAATGAATGCTACCCATTCCTTCAGAAACTCATAGTCTTTATACAAGGTGAAAACAGTGCTCTTCGTGTATGGGTTTTTGGTTCGTCAGTGAAGCCCATGTTGGCCAAAATCACCAATTTGGCAGAAGTCACCATATTGAATATTAAGTTTCTTTTGCTGTGCTATAAAATCTTTTTATGCCTTTATAAAGTTGTTCATTATTAATGCATGATGGCATCTCCGAATCTCACTGTCACTTCTATGGAAAATTCTTCCTCAAACTGACCTGCAATCCGCACCTCTCTACCTACCACTGTTGAGAGGATGAGTTTCTGGAACATGAGACAGTTCCCATCTGACATTAATGCCAGAGTGAGCAGCCTTTACTCCTAACCCTTGTCCTGAGCCCGAGTTCACAGAGACAAATTCTGTCATACTGACTGATGGAAGCAACTGTCCAAAAGCGGGATCTCTAGATACTTCTGGAAAACAGGATGGCTCTCCCTAACACGAACTCCAGCACCTCAAGAAGCTGGCTCCAAGTGAATCCCATCTTTCTCGCCCTCTTCATTCTTAATCCCACCATTTTACATAATAGGACTCCTTTCTCAACTAAATTTTTTTTTAAAGATTTTATTTACTTATTTATTTGACAGAAATCACAAGTAGGCAGAGAGGCAGGCAGAGAGAAGAGGAAGCAGGCTCCCTGCTGAGCAGAGAGCCCGATACGGGGCTCGATCCCAGGACCCTGGGACCATGACCCGAGCCAAAGGCAGAGGCTTTAACCCACTGAGCCACCCAGGTGCCCCTCAACTAAATTTCAATCACAGTATGGTGTGCTGGTTAAGAGTCCCACTGCCTAGATTTGAATCTCGCCTCTACCATGTGCTAGTCATGGGACCTGGGTAAACTACTGAATCTAAGTTCGCTTCCTTCCTCATTACGATGGCACTACCGACAGTACGCCCCTCATACAGGTGTTATGAGGATTAAACGAGGTAACTGTAGAGTCCTTGGCACAGTGCCTGGAACAGAGCAGGTGTTTCATAAATATTATTATTACTACTATTACAATTCTTCTTCTCAATAGCTCCCCAACCAGTCTTCTACTGCAAGGTCAACACCCTTCACTGATCTGTCTTCCAGGCTATTTCCAGGATACACTTTCAAAACAATTCTTGATTGTAAAATACATATTTCATTACAGAAAGCTCAGAAAACATAAAAGTCACCCACCGACCACAGAGACAGCCACTTTTGATGTATTTCTTTCCAGTGTTTTCCTTCCCTCCCTTCTTTCCCTCCTTACTGCCTTTCCTTCCCTCCCTCCCTCCTTCCCTCCTTCCTCTCCCCGCCTCTTTCTTTCCTTTCCTCTCCCTTTCCTTCCTTCCTTTCCTTTTTTAACATAGGTGGGATGATCATTTATGTACTGCTTGGGTCTACTGGGTCCCACCAAGCATGTCCCCATAAGCTAACATTTAACAACACGAGCTAGGCTTGGTTCGAGCTCTCTGCTCAGGATTGCATACAGAGAAACACAAACTGGAACACTAAAGGACTGGCCATGGCAGGTGCTGCCCACTGACCTGCCCTTCCCCAGCGGAGGGTCTACGGCGGCCAGCATCGCTGCTGCCAGGTTTGTGGGACGCCGACCTTCTCCTGCCAATCCTCTGCTCACTAGCTTCGAGCAGACACCCGTCCTCTGTAGGAGGACGCAGACCGCCAAGGGTCTGGGAGCACCCCCGTGCCGCTGGCCCTCCATGCCGTCCGCCGGCTCCTGCTGCCCCGAAGCTGGGGCTCACACGTTCCTGGGGCTGCAGTGGCTGCCCTCTCGTCTCTCCCCGTCTGGGTTCACTGCCTGTTTCAAATCCCATTTCAGAACAAGAAAACATCACCCTCAGTAATGACAACCAGGCCTGCGGGTTCAGAGCACTCCTACCATCCAGCCACACCCGTAAGACCGCATGGGCACCTGGCAGACGCCTGCTGAAGGGGCGACTGAGTATCTTGTGGTTTCAGCGGTTGCCTCGAGCACCTGACAGAATCCTTCAGAGACGAACCATGTCTCCTAACTTTGATCCTTTACAGTAGTTAATACAGAGTTAGTAATCAATAAAATGACTGATGAATAAAGTAATAGCCAACACCGGGCTTCCTTTTTAATACATATGTTTTCACATCTTTCTCTTGCCTTACTGCACTTGATACACCCCGTGACGGCTAACACCCGGAGGGCCTGCTCCACGCCAGACACCATCTAAGTGCTGTGTACATATTAGCTCATCTAATCCTTCCAACAGCCCTGGCAAGGGGATGTTATCATCATTTTCATTTTAGGCACGAGGAAGTGATGGAATTAGAATTCAAATTTTAAAAACTAGTTTGATCAAACATCATATCCAAATAATTGAATTCAATACCTGAAATATTTAGCAAGGACCAGCTATGGCCTACGCACAATGTAAGGTTATGTCTTACACAGCAGGGGGAGGAATTTCTAACAACGAACTAAACACGAGGCAGAGCGGGCAGATACACACCAATGCGGAGAGAGAAGAGGGCAAAGGGAAGGGCCCAATTCCTATGATCAGAACAAGCTTCTCCAAAACGCTGAGAAATAAGCAGGCCCTCAAAGTCATCTCATTATGAAGATCCAGGAATGAACAGGGTTAGCCCTCTAAGGGAACCACAATCCCAGAACACATCTGGGAGCATCTGGCAGGACCCTGCACTTTTGTTCACCCCCAGACAGAAACCCTGGGGCCAACGTCTCCTTTTTCCCCCAAGTGAGTCCTTGTCAGGAGTACAGGAGTCTGGGGTAGCTGGAGTGGGCTGGACAGCCCAGCTCCTCCTTACTGACAAGGACACAGCACCCCAACAAATCACACCATTGCCCGATATTAATTTATTTTGACAAGCAGAGAATACAGACCTGGTTTGTATATCCTAAAATCGCAAGCATTTCAACACGCTCCTCACTAGCATCGATGTGCTTTTCCGGCAACACGTGAAAACACATCTTCTAGGGAACGCACCATACACAGCAGAGAGCCATAGCCCTAGAAGAGACCTGGGGCTTCCCAGTGCATCCATGCCTGCCCAAGACAGAAGCCCCCGGGGAGCAGTCGTCACAGCCTTGGCCCTGATTACTTACGGGAGGGCAGGGCTCCTCAGCGCTTTTACCCGGACCACAGCCTCAGCCACAGCCTGGATGCCAACTGCGTCCAAACCCACGATTCAGAGGTCCAGGCTCTTGGCCTGCTCTCAAGGACCAGCACCACCCAGGTAGAACCCCCAGGCCATCCATACTGCACATGCCCTCCCCCACGAGAGGCCCTCTGCCTGCCTACTCTCTCTGTCAGGCCCGCTTTCCTCCTTGCCTGGTTCATGACAGCATTCTTACAGGTTTCAGAAGAGTCTTTTGGAAGCACAAAGTGACAGATCATTCCTTGCTTTACAACCCTCAGAAGCTCGCTTATACCTATGAGATCAGGTCAAACTCCTCACCTTAGCTTGCTGGGCCCCTGTCAGATTTGGTCCCTCGCTGCCACCCAGGCCACCTCTGGTTCAGACCCACATGTGCTCCACCCCTCTTGCTCCTGCCAGACCCAGAGCAGTCAAATAAGCCTCACCCTCTCACAGCCACCCAGCTCAGGCCTCAACACAAGTACCATCTTGCACAGGAAGGCCTCCAGGATGCCTTTGCCTCCCTCTGTGCACAAAGCACCCACACTTGCCTCCGCTAACATGCTACCTACCACACAGCATCGCCGGCCGCTTCCTTCGCGGTCACTTCCACTAGTCTGTGCACTCTTTTCAGTGTCCCCAGGCCCCAGTGGCAGGGGGGTGGTCAGCACACAGCAAATGTTTGGCACGTGACAGAAGGAGCCTAGACACCCAAGCCCACCAAGCCTCTCCTGTCCCTGACACCCAACGGACTTACCAACACAGTCACAGGTGGGGAACTCGGCCTGGGCTCTCTTTGCAGGTGTGTCCAGCAGACTCTTGGTGGGCGTGTCCAGGTACTTAAGAGGTGACTCCAGGAAGCCACTGAGGGTGGGTGTGAGGGGGTTCTCGGCCTTGGTGGGTGTGGCCTCCTGGCCTCCCTCCTCCGAATGGAAGCAGGTGGTTGAGAGCACAGTCACAGCCCCCGAAGACTCAATCTTGATTTGCTTGGGGGAGCGGGTAGAAAAAGGGCTCTCAGGGGCTGGGAGACATGTTGACTGGTTCTCGGCATCCTGAATGGGCACAGATGGGGGGCCAGGAAGCCCAAAGCTATCCCCAAATTCAGCTTCAAACTGCCGGATGAGCTCTTCCAGCTTGTCATCAGCAGGGGGAAGAGGGCCGGTGGAGCCCGGCTGCAGGGTCGCCATGGGGCTAGGGGATCTCATTTCCTGAGTAGGGGGCAGCAGGCTGTCCCCAGAGGGACTAGGTGCAAATAGCGCAAGAGAAGGTTCTGGGGGCGGGGGGGCAGCAGAGCCCTGGGAAGTGGGGACAGGGGCCGGTGGCTGTGCCTGCACATCCTCAGAGGCCGGGGGCCTCAGCCCTTCCAGGACGATTTGCCGCAGTGGCAGGAAGAGAGGCTGCGCTTCCCGCGGCCTGGACTTCTTGATCTGAATGGGCTTCCGGACACTGGGCTTGATCCCGGGGGCTGCCTTCTCGGTTCCTGGGGGACCTCCAGCCGGTGCCAGCGGCTTCTTCTTCTTCTCCTTGGGTGGCCTGTCCAGAGGCCGTGGGGCAGGTGAGCTTGCTGGGGCCCACCAGCCTGGAGCAGGAGGCTCGGCGGGCGGGGGGAAGGGGGCATCATGGGCCTGGTCCAGGAAGAGACTGCGCTTATGGTGAAGGTGCTGCTGCAGGGCGGTCTGGGCCTTCTGGTGGGTGTCAGGCTCTGTGGAGGGTGCAGGAGCCTCCCTCTGGAGCATGGGGGATGGGGACGGGGCCGGGGAGGAAGAGGGCGCCTCCACCTTGACCTTGGGCTTGGAGGGTAGGGCCTCGGGCCGCTTGAATACTGACTGGATGTAATCACTGGCGCTGCCCAGCAGCTGCTCCAGTTCGGCCATGGGGTCAGGGCTTGGGCGGGGCAGGGGCCAAGAGCTCCTCGGAGCTGCTGGTGGGGTGTCGGTGCCCCAGGCTTCCGGAAACTCGGGTCTAGGAGTTGCTGGAGGGAAGGCGGGGCTGTCAGGAGAAAAGGGTGCATGCTCTTCAGCAGGGACCACAGGCCACGAGGGGGCCCGGAGGTAGGACTGGGGGGACCGGAAAGGGGCAGGAGGGGACAAGGCCTCAGGGAGGGGGCAGGAAGCCTGGGAGGTGGAGTGGGAAGGCTGAGGGAGGGCAGAGGAGAGCTGGGTGAGGGCCTCGATGGCGATGGCCGTCTGCAGGCTGATGTTCTTCTCCTTGGCGATGCTCAGGGCACTCTGGGACAGGGGAAGGCCCTCGGGGGGAGGTATGTGGGGGACCTCGGAGCTGAGCACTGGCCTGGGGCTTGGCACTGGGAGGCCAGCCTCAGCAGAAGGCAGAGTCCCTGGGAGCCCGGGCCGCCCCTCCGCGCCGTCCACGACCACAGATTTGATCTTGCCCTCCAGCCACTCGAGGTAGTCCGGGCACTCCGGGCCATCGCAGTTGCAGCTGGGCGGCTTCATGCCGTGCCGCGCGAGGGCCAGGGCCGCCTGCAGCGTGTCCAGGTCTTCGCTGCCAGCAGAGCAGCCCTCGGGCCCCGGCCGGGCTCCCCTGCTGTTGTTCCCAGCCTCGCGACTCATCTCACGGTTGAAGGTTTCGTAGAGCCGGGTGCTAAGGGCCCCATAAGAGGACACTGCTTCGGCCACAGCCGAAAAGGCCACCAGATCGTGGGCATCTTCCAGGCGAGCAGTGTGAGCTGGGCCCGGGGCAGCGTCCCAGTCGGGCTTCTGGTCTACTCGCCAAGGACCCCCAGCCCCTAGCAGACTGGGTCCGGCGGGTTCTCTAGCACCATTGACCGGCGCCCCTGAGGCGCTTAGCTGCCGTGAGTCCCCATGGTACACTGGCCCTGAGTCCATCTGACCTGGAACAGGTCCATCAACTGGGCTGAGCTCTGAGCCTGTCTGAAGAAAGAAAGAGAGAAAAAAGGGAAAAAGATGAGCCATAATATTAGAAAAGCACTGTTCTGCTTCACACCACTCAGAGGCATACCTAAACCCCACGTTTCTTGCAAACTCTGCCCCTGACACAGCTTGAACCTGAACTCATCTTTGTCTTCATGTCTCCTTGCCCAGCCAGCCGCACCAACAGAAATGGAAGGCAGACCTTTAAGAGGTCCTAATCCAGAATTCTGCTCCTTTTAGAGCCTAAGATCGATGGTATAGACGAGGCTCCCCAGACACCAAGCATTTATTCAGGACTCACAAAAAGACCTCTAACTTTCAGGGGCCAAAATGACCCCGGGGCCATGCCGACTTCGGTGTTTGTTAGGAGAAAGCTAACCAAACACCCCAAGAAGCCACAGGCCATAAATGTGTGGTGTATGTGTGTACAGGGAGGGGGCGAGCAGCCCTGAGGAACAAATGCAGCCTGAACCAGGGGTCAGCCAGAGATTTTCAGTGGGAAGGAACCCACAGTTTTTTTCTTTGCCTGTTCATGTCTGCACATAAGCCCTGGCTGAGCTCCGAGAGCTGGTGACAAGATGACATTCCCACTTCCAGCCCCAGGCCGGCCGGAGGGAAACACTGATTGGACACCAAGTGCGTTCAGCCCCCTGATGAGCCAGTCACGCCAGTGACAAGCGAGCTGCCGGTCGGCCCAAGATCCAGGCCTCTTCCCAAGCCCAAGAACCACCACTATGCACTTGATGTCCAATGAAACACACAGACGGGGGAGGGCATAAAAAAGGAGGAGCCAGGGGTCCAGCCCAGCAAGTTAAAAGCTAATACAAAGATGTGAAATTCAGTCTGCAGAATTCGTCCCTCTAGAAAGGAAAGCTCTTCCCCACAGTAGAAAGCAGGGCCAATAGATTGGGAAAGTCATCAGTGAGTGCTGTAACTAGCAGGTGAAAGCTTGATGGGGCTCAGGATATAGACGTGATCTCAAGATAGCTCCACAAAAACCACCAAGTTACAACTGTAAAGAGAAATCTGGCAGACGCCACCTTAACCAAACGATCAGAGTTCTCATCATCACCAGTACTGCGACAAACCCACATCCCGAGAGTCTTGATGTGATACACTGAGAAGGACACAACGTCACTCACACAGAACTCCAGCCAAAACATATAACCCCCCTCCCATTATGAGGAAACATCAGATAAACCCAAACTGGAAGGCATGAGAGAAAGCACCTGGATTGTTGTCTTCAAAAATTTCAAAGACAAGAAAGACAAACATCTCCGCAAACATCTTTAGCTTACTGAAGAGACAAGACAGAGAAAGGCATGGTCATGAGTTAGATCACAGACTGGGGAAAAGAGCTAGAAGGCACACCGCAGGACATCTGATGCAACTGGAGTATGGACGTGGATAAGATCACACTGCGTCTGTCTCAGTCTTCTTGGCTCGAATCATTTTACTCTGATTATGTAAAAGAATGTCTTTGTCCTTAGGGGACATACACACACACAAACACACACACACACACACACACACACACACACTGAAGTATTCAGGACAAAGGAACATAGTATCTCTAACTTAATCTCAAGTGGTTCACAAAAATGTGATATGCATATAAGAAATATACACACATAGAGAAAATGATAAAGCAAAATGTAAATAATTTTACTATGTGGGAGTCCCAGGTACTCTTCTTGCAACTTTTCTGTAAGTCTAACATCAAGCGGATTAAACAGATGTTTACGCTGCTACTAGTCCCCAGACTGGGGAAGGTGGCCATCACACATGGGCTCCAAAGCAGCAGTGGGAAGGTGGGCTTTGGGATCAGCCCCGTGGGAGGGGAGCAGAGACCCCAGCCTCGGGTTCCCACCTCATCCTCATCACTGCCCAACTCTGGCCCAAAAGGACCCTTATGCTTTTCCAAGTTTTGCACATGCAGGGCTCACTGCCTGGAATGCCCTTCGCAGCCTCTATGGGGCCACCTTGGCTTATCCTTGAAGCACCAGCTCAGAGGAACCTCCTCCCTGACCTGGCCAGCAGACCGCCCTGTGGCTCCCGCCCCCTGGTCTCCTGTGGCACCCCGTACAGGCCTTAGCAGCACTTTTCTCTGGCCCCTGCTATCATTCCAGCAGCTGCTTCCCCGACCCGATTCGAGCTCCTTCAAAACAAGGTCCGCATCTTAGCCGCTTCTGTGCCTGCTGCCCGCAGCTGCTACTCACACTCTCTCCTGGGGTAAAAGGGCTCCCATGCCCCCAGACACAAATGCCACCTTTCCCTGACCGTCTCTCCCAACCTGGAACTAGGAACGAGACCTTCCCTCTAGGAATGTGGCTGATCACCTAGTCGTCCCTTCCTTCCTTCTCAGAAACCTAAAACTACCATGATGACAAGGGCAATGAAGTCTGAAGTGGCCAAATTTTACCTGCTTATGTGTAAAAGACAGCAGGAGCACGCATAACCCCAAAGAAACTTGAGGGAGTAGCATGGACTTACAAAAACAGTGTCAGGAAGACTGATGCTGAGGGACTGAGGCTTCCCCAAAATGGTCAAGACAACTAAAAGGATTTATAAAGTTATTTTTGGTTTGTGAACAAGAACAAGGAAGGGCTAGGCTGGCGCTTGGGCCTCTGACTTCCCTGGGAAAGAAAATGCTCTTTCGACCAAAAAGAGAAGGAAGGGAAGAGTGAACACAAAAATGAGGGAAGGGAAGCCAGGACAGGTGGAGGGATTTTTTAAGAAATGCTACATTCCAGCTTCTCAGCCAGGGGATTCCACTAACACATTCCTCGGCACGGGCTGGGGATCCTGGAGGAAAGACACCGTCAGGAGAAGGGGCCACCGGCAAGAAGAGAGCAAGCATCATTCCAGACTCGAGCAAGACCAGCCCCAGGAAAGTTCCTGAGAGGGTAACTGGAGGAACCACAAGGAGCCAGGTTCAACATACATCATCAACCCATCAACACCCAATGAACCTTACTGTTTTGTGTCGTAGGGTCACTGGACCAGAAGACAGGGAGACATCCTATCTGACAGATCACAAACTCAAGGGCTGTTGGCCAAATCAGCCACAGACCTGGTTTGTTTGGCCTACACAGCGTTAGATTCTTGTTTATCTTGTCAATATTAAAATGTCAAATTTGACATGAAACCCAGATCGTCTTGAAGGTCTGCATTTCCACCTAGCAGACAAGCCACGGCTTCTGCTCTGGCCATCCCTGGCCTTGCAGTTCCATGCTTCTTTCTTGACACCAAGGCCAGGGGTCAGAGATTACTTGAATTGCCTGTATTAGTTATCACTTCATTCGTGTTACTTGCCAAGCCTTTGCACACATTTGCATTTGCGACTTGGGCTATAGACGTTTAAGTCTACTAAGGCCTGCTGTGATCCCCTCAAGGGCCAGCGGTAGAGAACGACAGGCCGGACGGGCGGGCTCGCCACAGGCGGAATGACCATGCTCAAACTCAAATGGGGTAGCAACTTGGGTGGAGGGTAGCGGGGAGGTCTCTAGTGGTCTGCCACGGGGCTCTGTCCTCAGCTAGTCTTTCCTCTCTCCTGATACACGCAACAGGAGGATGTGGCAGCTTCAAAGGGTCCTATAACCCAGGGTTTTCCCCCAATTTCTTTACTACAATCCGCGGTAACAAATACATCCTGTAACATGATCCATTACATGCTTAAACGTATGACAAGGCTGCAAAATACTATGTCCCCTTACTAGATACACAAATCCCTCCCTCCATTTCTTGTAGGCTGCAACCTTGTAAGGCGATTTCACAGCCCACTAAGGAGTCCCAAGCCATAGCTGGACACACACGCAGGCATGACCTGATTGAAGAGGACCCATAGCACAGGCAGCGATGGCCCCACTCTGCCCAGACAGTCCGTGAGGGGACACAGAGCAAGCTAGACAGTGCAAAAGTATAGAGGTACGGGTCCCTTTAGGTTCTGAAGACAAAACTCGTAAAAGTCTTTACACATCTGAAGTCTGTCAGTCAGGCACAGAATTAGACTCGTTTCGAGTGACTCTTGAGGGATGGAATTAGAAAATCAGTAAAGCTTTAGAGAGTTGAACGTAAGCTCAATTTAGGGAAGACTGTGAACACTTAGAGACGCTGACGCGTTGGCCCGCATCCCCCTAACAAGGAGGAGGCAGCAAGTTCTTATCAATGGAGACTGAGAAGGGAACAAGGTGGGTTATCTGGTGATTAGTGGCAATGCCAGACGATGGAGGCTAGTTGAGAAAGGCCCTTTCAAATTCTCAGTTCAGAAATGCCCCAGCTCTAAAACCCTCCATGATGTCTCCCTCCCACTCCAAAGATCTTCCCCAATGTTTGCTTTTTGTCTGGACCTCTCAGCTGACCTCCAGCTAGCTCCAACCCCGGGGACATGTTACAAGCCCACTGAGAGGCAGCTTGTCTCAAACAGAGTGTAACTCCCCTCCCCACCTGCAACAATTTCCTATTCTGGACAGTGTTCTTATACTCGCCAATGTTCCTGACCCCAGCATCACCTGTGTTCTTCCAATGTGCCTCATCACCAGACCCCAAACAATTCTTAAACAAGAACACCTCTCTGTTCTATCTCCTCCCCCTCCATGTCTGTTCCCTAATTTGAGCCTTGCTGTGTATGCATGCTTTCTATCAATCTGCCACTGGCTCCTTTAAGCGACTCCATGTGCCCCCCTCAGCCCCAGCCCACTGATCATCTCTGTTGATGATGCCTCACCTTCCCTCAAGGCTCCCAGCACCACTTCATAACTCCTCCTCCCACTCCACCTTTGCTCACCCTCCAGAATTTGAGAATGTCATTTGTATGCACAAAGTGCTTGGGGCGCGTAGCCCATTATATTTCCCAAAATGGCCATTATATCCCTCCATCCCAAATGTACTTCTCCTATGGAGAGGTGGGAATCTATATGCTCCCTCCTCATGAATTTGGCTGGGCTCGAGGCAGCGGTGGAAGTGACCCTACATGGCTTTCACAGCTGGACTGCGAAAGA